ATAAATTCAATTAGCCTACTTTCGGTAAAAACGTTACAGAATGCATGCAGCGAGGTAAATGGAATTAGCAGCAATTAGAGGGTTTTCAGCAGAAAATTAGCCGAAACTAGGAAATGTTGAAATTCCTGTCACTTTACGGGTAAATTGACGTCCATGCGATATCAGCCACGATCGAATTCACGCGAAAACTAACAGCAAACGTCAAAGGAGTGACGTTTGAAAATTGAAAGAGCACATGACCCGATAGAAAGTGGAACGGGTAATATCTCCGATAAACTTCCCTCGATTTTCGTTTAGTCATTTACATTCAGTGATCGAATAGTCCATCCACATGTCTCCCTTTCCTTTTATTTCATTAATTAATCAATCGAACAGAATGAAAACCACTGCATAGCCTACAGGCCTTGTTCGATATATTTTTCTGAACAAAGGATCGGTTTGATTTGGTTATAATTCCTGCAGTTTGAATAAAAGATTGCAGCGCGCCAGTTGCCGCTGCTGAATGAGTTAATTTTTCAGTGGTAGCCCCGGAAAAAAAGAATCTCGAAACGCGATTCGTTCAAAATCACTAGCGCAATTTTCAAATACGTTTGTTCGACCGAGTGATATGCACTCTTCTGCCGTTAATAATTTATTCGATTTTGTGCAGTTAAACGCGGTTGTGATCTCCGTTACGTTCGCGTTAAGATTCTATGAGCGGTATAGGGTTTATGAACGTTGGTAGCGTTTTAACGATGATACGATTTTCTGTGTGAGGTGGTAATGGGAGAGTAAGAGTTTTAGGGGATTTTGGGATGTGGGATTAGGGACTGGGAATTTTGGGATTTGGGAATTTGGGGAGTTGAGGATTTAGGGGTGCAGGAATTTGGGGATTTGGGGATTTGAGGACGTGAGAATTTGGGGATTTCAGAATTTGGGGGTGTGAGGATTTGGGGATTTCAGAATTTCAGGACGTGAGTATTTGGGGATGTGAGAATTTGGGAATGTGAGAATTTGGGGATGTGAGAATTTGGGGACGTGAGAATTTGGGGACGTGAGAATTTGGGGACGTGAGAATTTGGGGACGTGAGAATTTGGGGATTTCAGAATTTGGGAACGTGAGAATTTGGGGACGTGAGAATTTGGAGATGTGAGAATTTGGGGATGTGAGAATTTGGGGATGTGAAAATTTGGAGGTGCGAGGATTTGGAGATTTCAGAATTTCAGGACGTGAGAATTTGGGTGTGTGAGAATTTGGGGACGTGAGAATTTGGGAACGTGAGAATTTGGGGATGTGAGAATTTGGGAATGTGAGAATTTGGGAATATGAGAATTTGGGGATATGAGAATTTGGGGATTAAGAAATTTGGAAGCTTGAGAATGTGGGGATGTGAGGATTTTGGGGATGTAAGAATTTGGGGATGTAGGAATTTGGCCATGTAACAATTTGGGGATCTGAGAATTCTGAGATTTGAGGGATTTAGTAATTTGGAGTTTGGGAATTTGCAAATCTAAGCATTTGAAAATCCAAGAATTTGAGGATATGAAAATTGGGAACTGACGAAGCTTAATATCTAGGCATGTTGGTATCTAAGGACTTGCTGTTTTGAAAATTCAGAGAAATTTAGGAGCTTGGAATTTGTATATATAAATTTGTTTATTTGTTTATATAATATTTAGTAATCAACAATTCTACACAAACCTATGCAAAACTTGACAGAGACTTCCACTTTCACCCACCAAAGTACACATTCCACCCTACCATCCTCCCCATAAGAATAAAATTAACATCTCCTAAACTTGTCACTTTCCCGTCAGTTTAATATCGCTAAACGTGCCCGAAAATATTTCACCGTAGATACTCGAGTTTCAATAGCTAACTATCCTGAATCAACGAGAACGATATGTCATAATATAGCTCTTATCGTAATTAAAACGTCTCGGGTTTAATTTCACGTTGATATTCTTGACGGGGGCTTTCATTTTCAAGCGTTGGTATGTTTGCGTTTCGTGACCCCTTTCCACGGAGGATCATACGACTCTCAATTTTGCGAGTGTGCCTATCGTACGGTTGCATCTCTTAAACTTATTTAAGTTTCGCCATATTTTATCTGCGGTCGGAACCAACCGGGGGAACGGACGACACTTCGAAGAATACGAGGACGAACCGCTCGAAATGAAATCGTACGCGGTTCTGTACCTGCGCTATCGCGCTCGTCCACGTTTAAACCCGCGTAATCTACCGAAGTGTTTTGGCTCCATGGATTCTGCAAACAGTTCAGGAAATGACAAAGGAACGGACGTTTCGGATAAAATTCGTTCTGTACCAACGCTTCGCGATTCACCTAGAATGACCGGTTCGAACATCAAACCAAAAAGCGCCGGATTTAACGTAGTTTGTAAAATTCTTCTTCCGAAAAATACTGCAACTGTCCCTTCTGACCCTTTTCTACTTTTACCGTGTTCTCTCTACTGATATAAAACGGGGTTATCTCCCGGGACATATTCCTCTGCCGTATCCTGTCCGTTGACATCGCTAATTTAATTAGGTCAGAGCAAAGAATAAAATAAAGATTGAAATGCAATTAAGGATAATTTACGTAGCAAATTGTCGCTAGACGGCTAATAGGGCAAATGTCGATATGCCAAGCTTTCAAGCATTTGCGAAAATAGACAAACCACTTAGCAGAATATGTAAAAATAGGAGACGAAGTCTGAAACATTTTGGCTAGTTAAAAATTTCAGTACGCTGAGTACGAAAGGTCTGAAATCAGTAGTTACAGTCAACCACTGGTCAGACACTTTCATACCCACAATTTATTGTGAAACATTATCCCATTAAAAAATAACTATTTGTACATATATTCGTTATTGGACTACAACAAATTGGATCTACAGATTGCTTGATTCATTGTTTATTTCGACAAACCAATCAATTTGTGCTACATAAAAGAATATCGATTACACTATCAATTTTATTGAATCGAACTTCAAACTGACGTACATAATTGGTTCCAAATACGAATGCTTAATAGAGTGACTTCGAGAGTGGGGGTACTTAAGAGAACAGTCCCTATGTACCTGTATAAATACTTCTTGAAAGTATCAAGAACCTAACCATAGAGTTAAATTTTCGCTGGAGACAATTTGATAGCAATATTGCTTAAACATGAAGATACCTAAACGCCGGTATAACGGCGGTAACGAATGGAAGGTAACACGCGAACGGTATCGGTATCTTTATTGCTTGCTAAATCAAAGAAGATACGCCAAAAGCTGTTATCGTTTTCAACGAGCTCGGTCCTTTACGCGAACTCGTAGGTATACGACGTTCAATCGAACTTCCGTTTTGTAGCGAGCGCTATTTTGGCTGATTTATCGGCGAGTTGCTTTCGTCGCTGCTGCCTCGATATCGGTTTTTCCCTTTCTCTTCTTTTTCCTGTGTATGTGTTATCCATCCCAACCATTCGAGCGAGGCTCTCGATCACCAATAGCGTTTATCCTCCCTGTACAGCCTTCGCCGCTCGCTCGCTTTTTCCTTCCGTTCGTTTCTCTTTCACCGTTTTGCACCCTGCTCCCTTCCTTTTCGATTGCCTTTTGCAACCTGACATCGTGCGGTACCTCGTCACTTTGCTACGAGCAGGTGTACAGAAAACCGACTATCGACTGACCCTTTCAAAGTTTGTCATTTTGGACAACTGCTCGGTAAACTGTGTACTGCGGATTATGTAGGGCACGTTTTGCGGTACCTTGTTTTAACGACAGGTTAATTTGGCAGTTTGGGTATTTTGGGATTTTGGGGTGGGTCTGGGAGTTTGGTAATTTGAGGGTTTTGGGAATTTGGGAATTTGGGTGTTTAAGGATTAGTACTTTGGGAATTTGGAGACTCAAGAATTTGGGAATTTGAGGATTTGGTGATGTGAGAATTTGGGGGTGTGAGGATTTGGGGATTCGAGAATTTAGGGATGTGAGAATTTGGGGATGTGGGAATTTGGAGATGTGAGAATTTGGGGATGTGAGAATTTGGGGGTGTGAGAATTTGGGGATTAAGGAATTTGGAAGCTTGAGAATTTGAGGATGTGAGAATTTGGGGGTGTGAGGATTTGGGGATGTGGGAATTTGGGGATGTGAGAATTTGGGGGTGTGAGAATTTGGGAATGTGAGAATATGGGGATGTGAGAATTTGGGGGTGTGAGGATTTGGGGATGTGGGAATTTAGGGATGTGAGAATTTGGGGCTTAAGGAATTTGCAAGCTTGAGAATTTGGGGATGTGAGAATTTGGGGGTGTGAGGATTTGGGGATGTGGGAATTTGGGGATGTGAGAATTTGGGGGTGTGAGAATTTGGGAATGTGAGAATATGGGGATGTGAGAATTTGGGGGTGTGAGGATTTGGGGATGTGGGAATTTGGGGATGTGAGAATTTGGGGGTGTGAGGATTTGGGGATGCGGGAATTTGGAGATGTGAGAACTTGGGGATGTGAGAATTTGGGAATGTGAAAATTTGGGGGTGTGAAGATTTGGGATTGTGGGAATTTGGGGATGTGAGAATTTGAGGATGTGAGAATTTGGGAATGTGAGAATTTGGAGACGTGAGAATTTGGGGATATGAGAATTTGGGGATTAAGAAATTTGGAAGCTTGAGAATTTGGGGATGTGAGAATTTGGGAATTTGAATAATTGCAAGGATGGAATTTGGGGATTCAAGTAATTGCAAGGGTGAAATTTGGAGATCTGTAATTTGTAAATAAAACTATTTAGGAACTCATATATTTAACTCTGTAAAAATGTAGAAATACAGAACTCTGCGACTTAAAAAATTTATGTACTCACGCATACATGAAGACTTAATATAAAAATTGTTAGGTTTAGAAAATTGAAGAATTTCCATAAAAATTGCATACAAGTATACCTCGTCAGTAACACATCTTCCTATATACTAATACTAACAAATTTAAATAAAATGTACCTACAAAATTCATCACAAATCCATTACAGCCTTCCTATAATTTTGCATTGCAGATTCAACGGTACCCATAGGACTCTGCCTACTGATCGAAAAGGGACTATCCGCGGTGAGTATAGCTGTGCTAACATCACCAGGAAGAAATACGCATTTACTCGAAAACGCATAAACCCGTGCTAATACGAGCAACACGATGCAGGAGGAGGATATTAAAAAACTTTCTCGCGTCCAGTAAAATTTCGCACATTTTTTCCTACGACCACGGACAACGTGGCAAAAAAGTAAAACGTGCGAACGCGGTGTCGAAAGAAGAGCTGCGTCGCGACATGTTAGCACGGGAGAGAACACAACGAAAAGTTGCAGAAATATTTTTCACCCTTTCGCGTCTCGTTTTTTCTCCCCGTTGTTCCGCCGGGCAAGAAGCACGCGGCTAAACTAAACTAATAATAATATGTCGGACATATGACGTAGCCAGCAGGTACTTTACACGAGCACGAGCGAAAATGCCAACGAACAACGGTCGATGAATTTTGCTCGTAACACCGGTGAAATCCTGTTTTCGATTCGGGTATACATTTTTTACTGCAGTTTACGTGACTGCCATTTTTGTCTCTGCTGACATACATTTTTTGACATTTGTTGTTTGTAGGGTGTGACGGGGCTTTTTGGAAGTTGGGAATTTGGGATTTAGGGGTTTTGCGATTTGGGGATTTAGGAAATTGGGAAGATAGGGGTTTGGGGATTTAGGGATTTGGGAATTAGGGATTTGGGGAGATAGGGATTTGGGAAATGAGGGATTTGGGGAATGAGGGATTTGGGAAATTAGGGATTTGGGGAGTTAGGGATTTGGGGAATTAGGGATTTGGGGAATGAGGGATTTGGGGAATGAGAGATTTGAGGAATGAGGGATTTGGGAAATTAGGGATTTGGGGAATTAGGGATTTGGGAAATTAGGGTTTTGGGGAATTAGGGATTTGGGAAATTAGGGATTTGGGGAATGAGAGATTTGGAAAATTAGGGATTTAGGGAGGTAGGGATTTGGGAAATTAGGGATTTGGGGAGGTAGGGATTTGGTAAATTAGGAATTTGGGGAGTTAGGGATTTGAGAAATTAGGGATTTGGGAAATTAGGGATTTGGGAAATTAGGGATTTGAGAAGTTAGGGATTTGGGAAATTAAGGGTTTGGGGAGGTAGGGATTTGGTAAATTAGGGATTGGGGGAGTTAGGGATTTGGGGATTTAGAGATTTGAAAATGTAGGGATTGGGAAATATAGATACTTGGATGTTTGAAAATTTGGGAAGATCAAGATTTAGAGATATATTTATATATTTGAGAATTTGGGTAGTTGAAAATCTGGAGACCTGCTAATTTAGCAGTCTAAAAATATTGCTATCTCAGAATTTATAACTACACTTTGGGGTTTTGAGGTTTGGAAAGTTATAAACTTAGATATTACAGAAGTCGACACTCTAGGATTAGAGTCCTGACAACCTTTCAAAAGTTCAGAATTTAAGACTCTGCAGTCCCGATAATATTACTGTGAAACTAACAGACTTGAATATTTAAAAAATTAGAAAAATTGTATAATCAGAATTTGCAACCTAAATAGAATAGTCTAATTCCTCGTGGCGAGAAATATTCATGGAAATGTTAAAGTCAATAGGGACTTGACTGCGTTTTGGAAATGAAATTTTTTCTTTACCGTCAGCGCAGGCAATTTTCTGGTCAGTAATTTTGAGAGTTTATGAGTTTACGACCCTCGAGAATGTCTCTGAAGCCATGCACTACGTTTTTACGCGTGTCACTTAATGGATTTTGTGAACCCGAAAGTGGGTCATTGCAGATTTTTTACGCCCTCAGAAAATCATTTTCTATCTCGAATTAAATATCTCTTTCAAAATATGCAGCGCAAAGAACGCCCTCGAAACTTCGCAAATCCATGGGAAAAAAAGGACGACCAGAGGATCGCGTTTAATATCGAAACGTTCGAACGGGAGCGATAAAAAAAAATACTCATCTCTTTCGGTGAATGTTTTATTTGATTTTATTGGAATAACATTGTGTATTTTAGTTGTAGCTCCCTATTGAACTTTCGGCACCCAGAAAATATTGAAACTCTGGTGAAAAGTATAAACCGTGTTTATTGTTCGCGAAACCCGTGGTTTGGCTATCAATTAATCTATCATCGTATCCAATTTTGATATTGTGCCATTGAACTGCTTCATTTTATTGTTTAGCCTTCTGTTGTTGAAACAATGCGTCTCTTTAATTGGAGACGCATTGTTCTAAGTATTGTTGGATTTTAAAATTCTTTTTCGACATTTTGCGGAAATGGGGTTTGAGGATTTTTGGAGGTGGAGAATTGGGACTTGTGGATTTTGGGAGGTGGAGAATTGGGATTTTAGGATTTTGGGAGGTGGAGAATTGGGATTTGGGGATTTGGAGATTTGGAGATGTGGAGATTTGGAGATGTGGAGATTTGGATATGTGGAGATTTGGAGATGTGGAGATTTGGACATGTGGAGATTTGGAGATGTGGAGATTTGGATGTGTGGAGATTTGGACGTGTGGCGATTTGGACGTGTGGAGAGTTGGACATGTGGAGATTTGGACATGTGGAGATTTGGACAAGTGGAGATTTGGACATGTGGAGATTTCGACATGTGGAGATTTGGAGATTTGTAGATGTGGAGATGTGCAGATGTAGAGAAGTGGACATGTGGAGATTTGGAGATGTAGAGATGTGGACATGTAAAGATTTGGAGATGTAGATTTGTGGACATGTGGAGATTTGAGGATTCTGAAGTTTCGAATCTTGTAGATTCCAAGCTTCTAGCATTCAGTCTCTAAGAGATGCTAAGATTGAAAGATTTAGAGCTTCTGAAGACCTAAAGATTTGAACATTAAAAGATCTTATGGTTCAGAGTCTGGGTTGTAGAGAACAAACTTTGTCTGTTGGCTAATTTAAAGCTTAGAGACATGTATACTTATGAACTTGAAGACTTAGAACTTGCATATTTATGAACTCGACCCAATTAACCTGCTCATCCTCATCACTTGAAAATTTCACTATAACGTTTAAAAGTGCAAACCTCGTTCCCCTATCCAACACACTTTTATCTCCAGAATCCTAACACAGATTCCAGCATCGTGTTTTATCACCTAAAAAACGATCCCCCGTGTAATAAATTTGCGGCAATGTAACTGATAATAAAAGATTCACTGTCAAATCAATGGATCGCTCAAAGGGCCTCCGGGTAGCAGATAAGGGCGGCAGTATTTTTCCCCGTGTAGGACAGGAGGATGCACGGTGTGGTATACGAGGACGAAAGTTTATCTGGAGCGATAATGGCGAGCTTAACGCGTAATCTGTCCTCCTTCTCTTATCGGTAACGTCATAAAGATGGTCAAACCAGCCGATGAAATGCGCGCATGGGATTTGATGATCGGCGGTACCGTGACGATCACGTTGCAAAACGTGGTTTGCCTCCACGTCGACGCGAATTAGCAATGTTCCCGGCTAACGTCTATATATGTTATATCGTATATTCCCCTCGGCGGTGACGTAAATACACGTCTGCCGTGTGGTATCGTGTCAGCGTAAACATTGCTCGTGCTGACTCCGTACCGCAGGGGACCGCGACGTGCATCGATCAGCGCCATAGAAATCCACGTCTGTGTGCCTGAACTTTGTGCAAGCCCATGGAAAATTGACCAGAGAATTTGCTGCTGGATTTTTGACCGATAACTTTCGGCCAAACTGGAGAATTTCGATAAAACTTTGCAGCGTTCGTATAAATTTATGGTCCCGGGGTACGACTGTGTTTACATTCGCTCCTACACCTTTCAAATGTCTTCTTTCCTTCTAATAAAACTTGTAACAGTCATCCGTAAAATGGAACTCTGTACAATTGTAAAGAAGATTATATCGAAGGAATTACGTGGAAATTCGGAATTTGCCAGCTCGAAATTTATAAATTTGATTAAAGTTCACGCGCGTAATGAATGTAAAGGGATTGCGAAATCCTGCAACCGGGGAATTATGTTAAAAAGTTTCGAGGATTAATGTAAATAATAATCGTACACAATTTTCGCTTGTTTTGAAAGGGATTTACTTTGTAGCTGATTATGACGCCCATCAGCCAATTAGCCGCAGGAACAAATTCCGTTCGCATCGGGATCTACGCGAGTATCGCCGAATCAATGTTTCGCGCGAACCGGGCAAGGTTTGCTAAAATTTAATCGGACGTGCACACAAGAGGGGTCAGATCCGGGGAACGATATATTTAAACTTGTAATTAATATGTGTACGAGCAGAGTCAGCGGTTGAAATTACATTCTTCTGGAAGCTAATTTGTTGGTTGGCACAAACAGAGGTGTTGGCAGGCCGCCTGCTGAACTTGATAATTACCATAGCCTGATTAATCGTCGCCTGCTAATCGAGTAATAATTTGGCTGATGACGATCGCGTGGCAACAACGTTGTATGAATAATTTGACGATACGAATAATCAGAGCGGGTATGAATAATACAGTGCGAATTAATCCTGAAAACTAACACGAGTCTCCGCGGCGTAACTTTCAATCCGACCCGGTCTCGTATCAATTTCCACAGGGATCTGCCTCTCTATGACGCCGGGAAACGTTATCGAGCGTGAAATATACGACAAGACAGGCTAACCGACCAAAAAAAAAGAAGGAAAAAATATCGCAGCGTAGCACTAATTAAAATGCAAATGGCCTTGCAGAGTGGTTGGACGTGTCGTAAGTAATGCCGACGGTTTTAGGGGGATCGAGTATTAGCTCGGCTTTTACCTCAGCCTGATTATCCCGATAGATCCATTTGTCTCGATTAACACGTCCTATTAATTCGATCAGCTGGAATTCCATTTCCTCTTAATTCCTTTCAGTCTCGTGTACGTTGGACACGATCAAAGGACCGTGGAATCGTTATGCTCGTCTCGTTCCTCTTTGTCCGCGAAGACGAACGGGTCGCGTGTCGCTCGGTTGTGTACGCGGCTGAATGTTTCAGCCGTGCAATTTGCCCGGACCACGTTTCAAATTCATGGTATTCTTTTGCCCTGCGTAATTGGGTCAATCGCTTCGTAAATATTTGCTTCCACGGGATTGTTGTTGGTCCAGTTTGCACCGCTGGACAAACGACCCTGGCGATCCTCGCTGTAAGTTGTGTCAATCACTGGAGTCGCTCCACGGAAATCACATGAAAATTCAATGGATTAACACGCTCGTCTATCTTGCAGACACATCTCGGGAATCCTTCGTTATCATCCCTGACGGGGTTACCACTTCCACAACTTCCCGCTATGTAATTATGAAATATCCTGTGAATTGTCCTCGTCTGTTTGCGAGACAATTGGGGGATTTGAGAATTAGCTGACAATTTTGGGATTTGAGAATTTTGGGAACTGAGAATCGGGGATTTGAGGTTCTCGGTTTTTGGGAAGTTGAGGATCGGAGAATTTTTTAATTTGAAGATGTGAGAATTTGGAAATTTTCGACATTGGGTTGGGAGAAGTTGGGGATCTGAGAATTTGGGGAGTTTTAAATTTGAGGATGTGAGGATCTAGAAAAATGAGACTGTGAGGTTTGAGAAGTTAGAACTCTAAGAATTTGGGCTCTGAAAATTTGGACACTTATAGTACAGAAGTTTGAGAATTTGCTGTTTGGAACTTGGGGCTTTGGGGTTTCGAAAAATTTAGCTATTTAATGTCATGAGGATCTGAGAACTTAATAATGTCATATCGGATGTAAGCACTTAACTTGACAACTTTCTGATCTGATCATCCAGCACCCTGAAAATCTACAGATCTCTAAACCTACGTCCCTAAGAATCTTGATATCCCTAAGTCCAAGAGTCCCACGAATTTAAAAATTAAAAGAATTCGGTTGTTTGTCATCGTCGTGACGAAACATCCAGGTCACTGTCTACCTTGAGCATTTCGTGCTACGTAAATACGGAATGCGTAATGAATAGCCGTCCTTCTCCTTTTTTATCTTCTTTTGAAGCAGCTCCAGCTGCAAGCAAACGGGGCAAAGCAAACGTCGAGGCCTTCGCCGGAAAATATAACGCGGAAGCGTGCCACGGAATATTTTATATCGCATGAAAATGTTTCATCGTGGTCTCACCGTTTGTTTCGCCGTACGGTTGCGCGTTCTCGTTGTGGAACCGCGTGCACACGCGTGCACGCGATGTTTTATTAAGCCGGCCAGACGACGCGTTTGAATAATTAAACAATTTAATTTCTTATCGGTCTACAAACATAGAATAGGTTACGCTTCTCTATTCGTTCCAAACGACGGTACAATACGTGATCGCTTGTCTCCTTTTACGAGCGTGTTCCTAAAACATTGAATCTCTTTAACAATTTCGTACGTTTGAACTTTTATTGGAAGCTCAGGTTTTATCGGGTACTCGGTTTACACGCTGTAATTCAACTATTGGCATTTTACTGTAGGACGATAAAGATCGCAAGCTTTTTAGACACAGTCGATTGATTTTCGTATAGCACTGAATATACATAGCAACTTTTGTAAGAATAATATTTTTGGAGGCTCTGACGCATTCTCACAGTGGGTATATTCTTAATAAACATTGTGGGTCTTCCGCGAGGCACGAAACAGGTTAAATACAACATCATCGGACGTGTCTTGAGTTTGGTGAGACACCGGTTCCGTCACGCCACGTTTAAACAAGCAACCCCCGCGGTGGTAAGAACGTTTAGTTTTGCAGTGGATTTCGCAACACACGTAGCCGGATACGGTGCCTCCGCATGGATAATAAACGACTTTCGGTAGTTCAACGGACTGCGTTTCGGCCTTCGTATTTTGAGAAGCTCACGGGTTCTCCGGCCATTTCAACCCTTCGCGTCCACTCCGCCCCCTGAGAACGAGGCTGCCGCGTTTCCCGTCCCCCTGTCACCCTGTTCATGTTGCCACGCCGCTCTCTGCAAGCAACTTCCGCTCGTAACTTGTACCTCTCTATTTTGTGCCGCAGGATATCATAGCTCACGGGCCAGGAATGGTGTTCCACGTCGTAAACCTCATCGTGATGGTGCTGTTGCCGATGGTGGTCATCCAAGTGAAGGATTCCGGATTCAGCCTGTGTAAGCGCCATTTTACGTATCATTTCACCGACCGATTCTCGAGCTCGCAGATACCATTTCTGTCCCAATGAAATATTGAAAATATCAAACAATCGTTCTATCGTCCGATATAATAGCGATGATACTTTCGACGACGCCGGTGAATTACTCCACGTCGAACTTGCACGTTCTGTTACTAGCTGCAGCTTTAGTCGCGATAAACGTCACTCTCTTTCAAGCAATAAGTTATCTGAAATATTTGGTGCAGTCTAAGCATGCAGAGATGTAAGATAAGTACCTGACTGTCTGACTAAATGTCTAACTATACGTCCATCCAGTTACCTGACTATCTATGTATTTAATTAGCTAGGTATTTAAGTGTCCACATATCTGAACGACGCGTTTGAATAATTAAACAATTTAATTTCTTATCGGTCTACAAACATAGAATAGGTTACGCTTCTCTATTCGTTCCAAACGACGGTACAATACGTGATCGCTTGTCTCCTTTTACGAGCGTGTTCCTAAAACATTGAATCTCTTTAACAATTTCGTACGTTTGAACTTTTATTGGAAGCTCAGGTTTTATCGGGTACTCGGTTTACACGCTGTAATTCAACTATTGGCATTTTACTGTAGGACGATAAAGATCGCAAGCTTTTTAGACACAGTCGATTGATTTTCGTATAGCACTGAATATACATAGCAACTTTTGTAAGAATAATATTTTTGGAGGCTCTGACGCATTCTCACAGTGGGTATATTCTTAATAAACATTGTGGGTCTTCCGCGAGGCACGAAACAGGTTAAATACAACATCATCGGACGTGTCTTGAGTTTGGTGAGACACCGGTTCCGTCACGCCACGTTTAAACAAGCAACCCCCGCGGTGGTAAGAACGTTTAGTTTTGCAGTGGATTTCGCAACACACGTAGCCGGATACGGTGCCTCCGCATGGATAATAAACGACTTTCGGTAGTTCAACGGACTGCGTTTCGGCCTTCGTATTTTGAGAAGCTCACGGGTTCTCCGGCCATTTCAACCCTTCGCGTCCACTCCGCCCCCTGAGAACGAGGCTGCCGCGTTTCCCGTCCCCCTGTCACCCTGTTCATGTTGCCACGCCGCTCTCTGCAAGCAACTTCCGCTCGTAACTTGTACCTCTCTATTTTGTGCCGCAGGATATCATAGCTCACGGGCCAGGAATGGTGTTCCACGTCGTAAACCTCATCGTGATGGTGCTGTTGCCGATGGTGGTCATCCAAGTGAAGGATTCCGGATTCAGCCTGTGTAAGCGCCATTTTACGTATCATTTCACCGACCGATTCTCGAGCTCGCAGATACCATTTCTGTCCCAATGAAATATTGAAAATATCAAACAATCGTTCTATCGTCCGATATAATAGCGATGATACTTTCGACGACGCCGGTGAATTACTCCACGTCGAACTTGCACGTTCTGTTACTAGCTGCAGCTTTAGTCGCGATAAACGTCACTCTCTTTCAAGCAATAAGTTATCTGAAATATTTGGTGCAGTCTAAGCATGCAGAGATGTAAGATAAGTACCTGACTGTCTGACTAAATGTCTAACTATACGTCCATCCAGTTACCTGACTATCTATGTATTTAATTAGCTAGGTATTTAAGTGTCCACATATCTGATTACCTAAGTGTTTGACTGTCTGACTAAATATCTAACTATATGTCCATCCAGTTACCTGACTATCTATGTATTTATCTAGCTAGATATTTAAGTGTCCACATATCTGACTACCTAAGTATCTGACTGTCTGACTAAATATCTAACTATATGCCCATCCAGTTACCTGACTGTCTACGTATTTAACTAGCTAGGTATTTAAGTGTCCACATATCTGACTATCTAAGTATCTGACTGTCTGACTAAATGTCTAACTATATGTCCATCCAGTTCCCTGACTGTCTACGTACTTAACTATCTAGGTATTTAAGTGTCCACATATCTGACTGTCTAGGTCCTGATTATCCTCAGATCTTTATACTTAGTATCGCCGAAGTATCTACCTAAGATATCTCATCAAAAATATCTCAGTTAATAAACAGTCATTAATAAAATAAACGATAATGCAATTACGTCATCATAAGTGTTGAAAATGAAAACAAAGGTTGTTCGAACATCCTTCCTGCTTAAAAAGCTTCATTAAATGCAAATGAGCCATGAAAATGTTTTCGACAGTTTTATGTACAAGCATAAAGATGCCTAGCATCTTGAGCAGGTTATTTCAGAGGTAGTTGCTCGATTTTCGTATACCTATGAAGTTTACTTGTTGATTCACGTATATTTGAACCGGTAAACACTTGAAATATCATTAATTTCGAAAGTTTAATTAAACGATATACGTTTTCTTAAGAGCACGTATTGAACGGGAGATTTAGAACTATGTTTACCAAACAAGCGCGATTTCCATTTATATTTTTGCATCGGAGAGATAGCAGATGTGTCCCGTGCGTTCTTTCGCCGATAAAATAGCGCATCAGTTTTGCTAGAATCGAATAGGAAACGCACCGAATATTGCCATTTAAAAATAAATGGAACTGCTGCTGTCATTTCTGCTTGCTCGTACGGTACAATTCAATAATTTCGCGAATTGTCCGCACAAACGATGCAAAATCGAAAAGATTGCAACCCTTAGAATGCACAAAGAGAGGAATGTCGAATCGAAACTTTCAGCTAGGTCGAAACTTTATGGCGTTCCACGAATTGCGAGCTTTGCGCCGGTTCTCTTTTCGCGCGAAATTGGAGTCCACTGATCTGTTTAATTATCGAAACCCTATCGCGCGCGATACGCTCGGCTGTAGGTACGTGGTATTTAATTTTCCGCTACGAAGAATGCCATTAAACCGACCCGACGGATGCTTTTTAAATTTTTTAATTAACCCCGTCGAGCGTAAATCGACCCGCTGTTTACCACCTTGGCTTCCAACGTCCGCGTCGTCCAAATTGTCAATATACGCTGATTAACGAGTTATCGCCGATTTACACTCATTAGCGGGAATTTTCAATTTTCGACCGATTTTGATTAGTCGTTTTTGGTCGTACCGTCAGGTGACGTCGCTTTAATCCTCGTTATGCTAGCTTGGCAGCGGCATAGCAGCCTATCAAAAATTCTATTTAAATGCAATACGAACAGTGACCCGTGAGATACGATGGCCAAACGTCATCGCGTATGCACACGGATGCAATTACACGATGCATCGCTTGATCTATTATCTGACGACGGTTCCATTACGCAGTCGTTGGATTTCGAGGATTGAATTCTGCAAAATCAATTCTTCTTTTTACTGCATTCTTTCTTTACAGCTCCAGAACCACAATCTCATGTTCCTACGTCTCGCATATCTTTCCTTCTTAGAAAAGGCAGATTTCTTCTCGACTGTACTTGTCTCACAGTGGCGAAAATTAGTTCAGGTCGGCGACACTCAGGACTTGACATTACACGGTGCTTTGTTTCTAGCACTTTGACATTTCTTAGCATCTCGTGCGGTTTTATATTCTTTCTTTATATTCAAATTATCTGTAGAACCGTCTTAAGTACGATTTAATATGCGCGATACAGATACCATTGATTGCGTAGGCGTTAAGAGGACCCGTCTGAATATTACACACGCTTCTTTAAAACGGAAATGATCCTCGAATATTCTGTTACAAAAGACCGACTTCTATTAGCGAAGAGACGGAGAAAAGATCTGGCGTAATAGGTAACTCTAGATCCAGATCTAATGAGGTTGCAGAATCTTATTCACTACTGCAGAAAAAGGTGATTCTTGATACACTACGAAATTCTTCTCTGCGCCAAACAAAAATTACTGCAAGAAATTCTTTGGCTCAAGGAAGAAATCCTGGAAGCTATTAATATTTCTCGAAGACGTGCAAGCATCTTGTTACACCCGCTTCTCGCCTTGTTCCTTCTTTTTAATCCGAGGTTCTTTAATCAACGCGAACATCTCTCTGTGAAACTTTAAGCGACCTCCTTATGATAATACTTCACGGCAGCAGGTTAAAAACGATGCTTTCAATTCACAGCCTTTATACCGATCGAGCCGGGAACTCGTAAGTCGCGTCCATTGCCGAAGATGTTTTAATTTGAAATCCTTTAATTAGAGAACTGCCTTCTACGGACTCCCGGATGCGCTTACTCTTTAATTGCTTTTCTTCGATCGTTCCCGGACCGCTTCGCACGCTCTCCGCCGATCCCGAAAGACGTTCCAATAAAATCTCTCTTAATTGAGATTCGCGAGATGCTCTAGCAACCGAATCCGATCAGCTAGGAAGCATTTTTCAGTCGTTGCTTACCACGCGATATTTACTTATCCTCTCTGCGAGCCAACGAGGAATCTCCGATCTCGTAGGAAGGTTAAAAAGCATCGACTAATTTTTGATATCCTAAAAAACGAGGGGAAGGAACGTCGTTGGAACAGCTGCGGAGTATCGCGGAATGGGAAGGCGAAGAAAGGAAAGATACAATGGCGGCGTCGAAGAAACGTCGGAACTCCGAAGAAAAGTCGACACAGCGTGACACGTGAGCCACGGCAGAGATTCATACGTCAACTAGTCGCTACATCCGGTTGTGTAAGCGCTTCTTAAAAGTTCTGAAGTCCCGTGCGAGTGTGCCTGCAGTCTGGAAGTAGTCCGTGAAGTGGTTGTACCGCGAGTACAGAGGCTGGCTCGCCCTCCTTTTCTTCTTCTTGGCCGGTTCTTTTTTCGTTCTTTCTTCGTCTCTGGCCTCCTCGACGCCCTCGAGATCCTCGACCTCTGCGACACGCGAAACGACTCACGTACGCGAAAGTGTGCACTCGAGGAGCGTGTAGCCGGGTCGCGCAGACAGCCTAGATATCCGAGGTCTTTGCGCGACGGTATTTCAAAGCGGTTTTGTCTCTCGATTTACGCGGAACGGGGCAAAGCAACAGCCTCGGTGCCTCGCAATTATCGACCAGCAGTTTTATTCGAGGCTCTCCCTTTGCCCGACACGGAATTAAAGACGTC